TAATCCACTCTCCCACCCCCTGCCCTGCCATCTTAAGGATGCTTTTACTCATCACCATCACCCAGGCTTCTGTTTCCATGGAAACCCTCCTTTCAGCCCAGAAAGCTACTCCCTTCTAGGCATCCTCCAGGTCAGTAGGAGTTCTGATTCCAGTGTGACCATGGGCAGCTTCTGTCCCTGTCTGGGCCAATGGGGAGAAAGATAAGTATCCAGTCCAGCATGGGCAATGAGTGGGGTCTGGGAAGTGGCCAGCATTCCAGCAGCGGAGGTGAGGTTAGGAGGCCCGGCCACAAGTACGGACACAGAAAATTGCCCTTGTCTCTCTCAGGGGTCAGTTGTGGGTGGTAGACCCAGCCGTGGTCCTCCAACAGGGTCTGTATTCCTATTGCACACAGAAGAAAACAGGCGGACAGGCCCTTTTTCCTGAGAGGGCTCCTCAGGCTCAGCACCAGTGGAAGGTTTATCAGTCAGCGGTGTGTTCGCTTTTCTGCGGCATGCTGTCTCCTGCCTGGAAGCTTGGCCTCTCTCTCCCCGATGCCTCTCTGAGCTGCTTGGGCCTCTGGCAGGCTATCTTTAACCACTGAGCCAGAAGCTATTTCCCTACACGATGCCACCCCTCTGTTCGGGGCTTGGCACTGGCCTGCATGTGTGCCTCTATATGTCTGCAATTTGAGCTCAGGCTGGAGAGCAAGGGGTGGCAGGGGCAGGCCCTGCCCAGGGCCAGGTGGTTCGGGTTCATCTTGGCTCCATCGTTGGCAGAGCTGAGAAGGTGCCTGGCCTGATGCCCGGGGCCTGGTCCTACAAATAACGTCCTCAGGCCAGCAAAGTTGACACTGCTCACCTCTCCCAAATGTCTGCCTAAGCCCCGCCCTGTGACCCCAGACTCCGGAAGAGCAGGGCCTTGGAAGAGATGAAGAAGAAGGAATGGGCTGAGCTGCTGACCAGGTCTCCAGCCATCAGCACCGGCTCTCTTGTCCAGTGTAGCTCTAGCCTGGGTCTCCCACAGGCACCCTTGACCTCTGGAGAGGCCCAGGGTTGCAGAGTCTGTGCCACAGTCACTGGAATTATTGCTGCCTCTCATGGCCACCCACGTTGCTTCAAGGGACCCTGATTAACCAGGCTGCCTCAAGAAGTGGCATACCTGGGTGCCCACCCCGACTCCACCCCAGAGGCAGCCTGGGGTCTCAGCCCCAGGCAGAGCTGAAACCCTCATTTTCCCTTGGCTCAGAGCAGGTGAGAGGCTTTGCCGGAATCAACAGCAAGAGAGCGAGGCCAAGCCAGGGGCAGGGCCCTTTCCCAGCCCCCCTGTAGGTCTATATTAGGGGCTGGGAATAACTCCGGGAAGGATATCAATCCTGGGGGACCCTCCCTTCCAGCAAGGACATTCCGATGGTCCATACCAGCATGACCTTACTATTGTAGATAATAAAGCATTGCCATCCCTCCACACTGATTGATAAAAGGCTTTTGTCCTGAGTCCTCTCGTGCCCCACCCTGCTTCCTGGGACTCCCCCAGACCTTCCCACAAAGCAGCAGCTAAAGGGAACCTCGGGCCAGGGCCTCAGAGCAAGGCCGCCATCCATTCTCATTGGCCAGGTGTTAAGTGTTCTGAATGTGCATTAGCTTTGCTCCGAGTCCTGGGAGAGGCAGGTGGGGCAAGAATAGGCCGAGCTGCCCTAGCTGGTTAGGCTCCGTGGATAAAGCATCCACCTGCAGACTGAAGGGTCCCAGGTTCGATTCTGGTCAGGGGCACATGCCTGGGTTACAGGCTCCATCCCCAGTAGGGGGCGTGCAGGAGGCAGCTGATTGGTGACTCCCTCTCATCATTGATGTTTCTTTCTTTCTTTCTTTCTTTCTTTCTTTTTTAAATATATTTTATTGATTTTTTACAGAGAGGAAAGGAGAGGGATAGAGAGCCAGAAATATCGATGAGAGAGAAACATCGACCAGCTGCCTCTTGCACACCCCCCACTGGGGATATGCCCACAACCAATGTACATGCCCTTGACCGGAATCCAACCTGGGACCCTTCAGTCCGCAGACCGACGCTCTACCACTGAGCCAAACCGGCTTCGGCTCATCATTGAAGTTTCTATCTCTGTCCCTCTCCCTTCCTCTCTGAAATCTATCTATCTATCTATCTATTTTAAAGAATAGCCCGATCTAGCCCTCCCCTGGCCCCAGGCAGCTGAGGCAGGCGTCAGGGGGCCCCTCTTGCCAGGGTAAAGGTAGACAACCTTTGCCTCTCTCTGCCCAGGGATCGCAGCCGCCACCATCTTCAGCCCCAGCAGGGACGTGGCTGTGTCCCAGAGTCAGCTGCGCGTGGCCTTCGACGGGGACGCTGTGCTCTTCTCGGACGAGTCGGAGCGCATTGTCAAGGCCCATGGTCTGGACAGGTTCTTCGAGCACGAGAAGGCCCATGAGAACAAACCCCTGGCCCAGGTGCTCCACACACTCCCCAGAGTCCCTCGGGGGCCCCCCAGAACCTGCCCTCGGCTGGAACCGGATGCTGAGCTTGGCCCAGAACCCAGCCAGGTCCCCTCACCCAGCCTCCAGCCTTCATCCCTCTCCCCTGAGCCCTGGTGCCCCTCAGTGAGCTCCTGCCCCTCCACTGAGCCCCTGTCCCCCTCACGGCAGTCCCATCCTCCCTCTGAAGCTCCCACCCTCTCTCTGAGCCCCTCCGGAAGCCCCTACCTCTCCTTAGCTGCTCGTAGCTGAGGTTTTCAGCCCCTTCTGGAAGTCCCCGTCGCCTCTCTGAGGTCTCCATCCCCCCTCCAAAGGCCCCATCACACCTGGAAAGCCCCACCTCTCCCTCTGACTCCGCCGTCCTCCCTCTGGAGCCCTCACTCCCTCTCTGAGGTCCCCCCGCCCCTCGGAGCAGGCTCCCCTACACCCCTCACTGGAGGAAAGAGACAGCTGGACTGGGCCAGGGAGATGCCCTGGGCCCGTCTGCAGCAGCCCTAACCCCCTCCTCCCTCCATCCCTTGGCAAGGGGCTCAGGGACCCTCACCCACTGACTGCTCAGGTGTCTCCCCGAGAGCAGAAGGGGCCCTGGAGCCTGGTTGGAATTCCTTGGGGCCGGAGCTGTGAGGATTCTCCTGTTGTCCTGGGAGCTCCTGTTTGTACTTTTAACAAAAACCCACATCATCCCGGCGCCCCTCCCTCCAGCCGCTCCGCAGGCTTCCGCCGTGGCCCCTGGACATTCACGCCGCTTCCATTCTCACGAGTTCCCCCCCGGAACCCTGGGGCGTCAGGGCAGGACAGTCTTCCCGCCCAGTCACAGGCAGAGCCGACAGACCGCGGCTCGCTCCAGCCTCCCAAGACTGGCAGCCCCCCTCTCCTCACTTCCAGCTGCGGTTGTGCTTTTCTTCTTTGCCACCCTCTGGCTCTCTAGTCGCCGTCCTCATCACCGCTCCCGGCAGTGCAGAGAGCACTTCCTCTCCTGACCCTGGAGACACAGAGCGGGGCGCCCTGAGCCAGCTGCACGTCGGTCTGTCTGTCCGCGTTGTTTGCAGCCGGGCTCCATTCTGCCTGGAGGCTGCCCTGGCTGTGGCGGCTTCTACATATTTTTAATATCCTCCCTGCTGGTGAGCACAGAAGGTCATACTACGAAGCTGTAGGCCAGACGCCCATGCACCCGAGGGGCACAGAGAAGGACAGACACAGGAACGGGTCTCTCGGCACGCGTTTCTGACACAGACACCCCCAATCACAGCGGCACAGGGACCCACACGGCCATGGGTACCTGCAGCGCCATCGGTGCGCAGTGAGTGACCTGAGCAGGCAGAGCGGGCAGGACGGAGAGCTGTGGGGACCTTGAGAAGCTGTCCCGCCCCAGCGGGAGAGGGGGCGCCTGTCTGGGAGAGGGGTGAGCTCACAGTCTCCCCTTGCCTTCTTCCCTCAGGGACCCCTCAAGGGCTTTCTGGAGGCCCTGGGGAGGCTGCAGAAGAAGTTCTACTCCAAGGGCCTGCGGCTGGAGTGCCCGATCCGCACCTACCTGGTGACGGCCCGCAGCGCAGCCAGCTCCGGGGCCCGGGCCCTCAAGACCCTGCGCAGCTGGGGCCTGGAGACGGACGAAGCCCTGTTCCTCGCGGGCGCGCCCAAGGGCCCCCTCCTGGAGAAGATCCGCCCGCACATCTACTTCGACGACCAGATGTTCCACGTGGCCGGGGCTCAGGAGATGGGCACCGTGGCCGCCCACGTGCCTTACGGCGTGGCGCAGACTCCCCGGCGGACGGCGCCTGCCACGCAGGCCCCGGCTGCACAGTAGCTGCGCCCCAGCCTCACCGGCCCCCCCAGTGCTCAGGCACAGCGCCCGCCCTGCCACCCTCCCCTGGACCCTGCTCGCCCCACCGCACTGCCTTGCTGCATGTCTGCCCCCATCCCTGGGAGTGAGGCGCTGGTGCGCAGCCATGCGGGGTGGGCCGGCATCTCACCAGCCTCCTGTGGGGCCGGCACTGTGCCGTGATGCCGGCTGGGAAAGGCAGGCCGTGGCTGGACGTCAGGGGGAGTCGGTGGGACTGCGGGCGGAGGGTCCGAGGAGCAGGGACGCCTCACCACGGCTTCGGGGTGAATCCAGGTGCGGGGCGTGCCCAGAGCACTGCTTTGAGGGCGAAGAGATCCGGCCTCTAAGCTCGATGCCCGCATTAGCGTAGAGCGAGTCCCTCCCTTTCCTGGGGCTCCGCGTCCCCGTCTTTGGGGTGGTTTCCAAGCCCGCATTTAGCTATAGAGCTTGGCGTTGTAAGGTTCCCCTCTTCAAAGGACGCATTCTGTGCCAGGGCTGCCACTGGTCTACCCGGCCCCTCTGCGCAGGTTACGGAATGACTTACGGAAAGAAGGCCCTTCCTCAGGGCTGGCCACACCCCGCGGGGGGCACAGTCAGGTTAGCAGGATGTAGGGGGAGGTCAGCCCCCACTGGCTCCTCAGCCCGGAGGCCTTTGTCAACCGGGCAAAACGCACAGTCGTCCGTAGCAACCCGACCTATATATACTTTTACTCATTTGGAAACCTCTCATCTGAGTCTTCGGGGTCGGCTGCCAGGCCTGCCCCGTCTGGGAAAGGAATGAGGGAGTGAATTAAACCTGCATGCAAACTCTAGTGTAGCCACCAGGGGGCACTGCGGGCACTTCCTGGGGAGCCACTTTGGTAGCAGCCTGCCCACTGCTTCCGTTGCTTTTGCTCTTAGCCAAAGTTCAGTTGTTCCCACCTGCCAACCCCTTCACCTCAACCCTCCCTCCCTCGTCTATTGTATCCTGCTGTGTCGCCAAGCAGCCCTGCCAGTGGGGAAAGCAGCGGAGTACTGGGGTTTACTGCTGTGGGCCGAGGGGAAGAGAGCTCAGGGGCCCAAGGGGGAGGCTGTCCAGGCGGAGGTGATGTGGGCTGGGCAGGGCGGCCTGGTCTGCAGCAGTACCAGTGAGAGAGGAAGATTCCCAGCTGTGGGAATCGCGTGGAGGTGATGAGCTCCCGTCCCTGGGACGCTGTGGGAGGGATGCCCTCCGCGTACACCTATGGACCTCCACCCGTGCAGGAGCCCTGCAGCCAGCCCCTCCCGTCCTCACTGCCTGCTGACAGCCCCCTCCGTTGTGACCAGCCATGCTCTCTGCAGGGGTGGTGGCACCAATGGGTGGTCCCTCAGGAAGGCCCGGAGGTGTGAGCAGACAACGGGGTGGGGGTGCTGGTTGCCTGGCTCCTGGGAGGCAATCCTCGCTGTGAGCAGCACTTTGTGGAGAAAGCCGAAGGTATTGGCAGCGCGGGCAGGAGCCCGGAGGGGTGTGTGTGAGAGCCGGAGCACTCCTGGGGACAGGAGGAAGGAGTGGAGAGCCATCGGGGGCCTGCCCTTTGTCCTTTTGAGGGCCCAGCTCGCGATCTGAACGGGCGCAGGTTCTGGGCAATGCGGGGCAGGGCAGTCGCTACAGAAGGGTCGCCAGGAAGGAGGAAAGAGTGAGCACACACAGGGAGTTCTGCATTGGAGCAACAGTTTGGGCCAGAATTGAAGTGCTCGGCTGAGCCTTTGCTCTGAGCTCCTAGAGGCTGATCCCGTGGGGGAAGGGCCGGGCTGTGCCGGGTGCCAGGGCAGAGGCCCCCACTGACCGCCTTACCAGGGGAAGGGCGGGGATGACAATGTCTTTGCACGAGTCCGTTCCCATCCAGTCGGGATCTTTTGGGCAACAGAGGAGGCCTCAGGGCAGACCGTTTGGTTTTGAGCTTCTTCCCCTACCCAGACCCCAAGCCCAGCCAGAGATACCGTGAGATCTAAGACGGAAGGAGGGGGTCAGAGAGCTCAGCCCAAGTCACCTTTGATCTTGGCTGAACCACAGAAACATCTGCTCCCCCCCCCCCCCCCCCCCCCCCCTACCCCCGTCAGAATCTCCCCCTGGTTTGAGCCTCCAGGGCCCCAGGGTGGACATGTGAAGACAGCACCAGATGTCACCTAATTAAGATAAACCCAAGGCATTCTGGGAGCCAAGAAGTCCTGCCCCCAGGACCTAACCATAAACACCAGTGATTCTTCTGGGCCTGTCAGGAAGCAGAAAGATAAGGTGCAGTCAAAGCCTGGGTTTCACTGGAGCCACCATTAATAGACATAGACACGCCCTGGGCAGAGAGAGACAGTCAGGTCCAAATTCTATTAGTGCCACCAGACATGAGCGTCTCAGGCCGGCGAGAGCGCTTCTCGAGGCTGGAATAAAAGGCCAGATGTCCTGAGGGCAGGCTGGGGCAGCGGCTAGACACACCAGACTGTTTAAAGGGGCAAGGAGAAGCATTCAGCAGACAAACTAAAAAGCCAGGTGCGCACCAAAGCTGACTCCCATGTCAGCCCGAGTCCCCGTGCTGCCGCTTACTAGCTATGGGACCGGGCAAGTGGCTTTCCTTCCCTAAACCAGCCTGTTCTGCAGCAGGGGCTCAGGGGCGCAGCTCCCGGCAGGCTGGACCCCTGGAGCCGAAAGCACCGCAGCCCAGCAAGTCCTGCAGAACTCGCCCCGGCAAACGCCGGCCAACAAAACCCCAGGCCCGGTGGGAACGGCCACGTAGTAGAAAAACAGAAGCCCTGTCACTAAGCACTGAGACTGCTAAGATCATTGCCAGACAGCCCCCTCCCCTTCCCCCGAGAGCCCAATCAGAAGGTGTGAACATAGCCAAAAATGCCAGAAGACACCAGAACCAGCGAGGAGTTCAAATCCAAGATGGATCTGGCATTGCAATGACATTCAGCTGGGATGCGCCGGTCCAGACAGACTGGTGCTTAAAATACAGAAATACCTGATGGTACACAGCTCTGGCCTGGTCCCTGAGCGCCCCCACGCTGTGACCGCTCCCCGTTCCCACGATCCAGCAAAAGGGGCTTCTTAGCAGGCTCCGGGCGGCCGCTCCAGCGCGATGGCCAGGGGGCGCCCTTTGGGGTGGCCGTGCTGGTTTAGGGAGGCAAAGCCACTTGCCCAGTCCCAGAGCTGGTAAGTGGCAGCACGGGGACTCGGGCTGACCTGGGAGCGCAGGCTCTTAGCCATTTTGCCGTAGGACCCAGACATGTGCCTAGAGAAGGCAATAGAAGCTTCCTTCCCCCGACAGTCCTTCAACATATTGGTCATGTTAAAATCTCAATACACTTGTGTGGGTACATTTTGGCCATAGCTTCCTAAATAGCTAAGGAGAATCTATATGAAGGCCAACCATTTGCAGAGCCCTCGGATAATCCCCGGGCTCTGAGGAACCCAGTTTGAAGATCCTGAACTGGGCTAATGCGGGTTTGGGAAACCATGGCTCCTTGGGCCCACTACCTGTTTGTTTTTTTAAACCTTTTCCTGGAGCACGGCCATTTCTATTTGCTTATGTGTACGTGTGGCTGCTTTCACACTGCAGCAGCAGATCTGAGTTACTTCAACAGAGAGCGAGGCCCTGAAAATATTTTTCTGGCCTTTTACTCAAAAAGTTTGCGGACCCCCCCCAGGCTAAGGCGAGCATGCCCAGCCTGCCCTCCGGTGGGAAGGACCTGCTCTCATACCCCTAAGCACTCGGAGGCAGAGGCTGGCTCTGCTGCCGAGGGGAAAGCATGAGGGCATATGCGCCCACCAGTGGGAATTGTTGGGGCTGTGGAGTCTCATGGGTACTGACTAAGTACCTCGATGCAGATCCTTGTCATCTGAGACATCAGGATTTCAAGTTTTGACGATTTTCAAGTGACCCAGCGCCCTTTGTAATTCAAAATGTGGTTGAGGTGCAGATTTGAGTGGAGTGTGCCCTCCCAAGCTGATGGGTGAGGGGCAGGAGCAGCGCCCCCGTCTAGGGCTAAGTCCAGCTGGCTGTCCAGCATCTGCTCAGGGTAGTTTTGTTGTTCTTGACTTGTTATTGTCCTCATGGGGCTCCTTGGGAATGATCAGTGCCGGAAGATGGCTGGGCCTGAGCTCAATATGAATTCTGGGTAAAGGGAAGTGCCCCATGCTGACTCAGTGCTCAGATCAAACAGGTCATCCCATGCTCTCCGTGGAAGTAAGAGCATGCTCTTCCCAAGGACCGTCCCAGTGAGGGCTTTAGCTGGCTCAGGAGTTACTGATCAAGCGAGAGATAAACTCCAGTGACGTTTGGAATGGCAGTGTTCCTGTGCAGTGAGGTGTGGGCAAGAAACACTCATACCCTCATCATGGGATTGTGTTGCGGGAGAAACCTGCAGATGTAGGGATTTACCGATGTTCCAGGATCCATGGCAAGAATGACAGTGTGGAAGCCATGTTTTTTGGTCGCTGTTCCATCATGACGCTCTTCTCTGCTAAGCCCAGATTCAGAATCCTTCTCAACCCAGCATGCCTGGCAGTATAGCGACCAGGGGGTTGGAGTGGGCATGAAAGTTGAAAACATATTTTGCCATTCCCATTGGATATTGCTTTGGATGGGACATGCGAGGCCCTGAATGCTTATTTTCAGATATTGTAGTTCAGCGCTGAGACACAAAGGGCAGAATACAAAGAGGGAGAATGGCTGCCTGTAGTTGGTGGCTTCTTAGGTGTGTCAGAGACGCAGTGTCCTTGGTTTCACCTTCTTCGAGCCAAGTGCAAACACCCCTCCCGCCAGCAGGTGGCACTGCAGGCCGGCACTCAGCTGCTTGTGGCAGTAACAGTGGTTTTATCTGCTGGTTATTTTTCTCTCCTTCCATGGTTTTTGGTGCTGTGCTGAATTCTGGCAGGTAGCTTAGCCAAAATGTGCTTTAGGTGCTCTGAAAACGTGTTAAAATGTAGCTGCCTGATGAGCTCATTGCTTTTACCAACAACCGCTGTGATTGTGTGTATGGACACACTCAATATGTAGATGTGTGTAATGGATCAGATATCTCTGCTGACGGCATATGTGTGTGTGTGTGTGTGTGTGTGTACAGGATGATTATCTGCTGACTAAATGTCCTGGAATCCACATCCTGATGGCCAGGACTGCTTCCTGAGACTAGTTCTGACTATTCCTGTCATCTCATGGGCATTTGCTGGGGCCAGGCCTTTTCTCTTTCTCGCTTCCCCGCTCTGGCCAACAAGGTCTCGGCTCCTAACACTCTGCTTCTCACCCCTCCCCTCTTCAGCCTCGAGAACTCCTTTCGGCTACACCTGCCTTACCATCTCTCCCTGTTTCCCCTCCCCCTGACAGGCCAGGGCTAACATGTATAGGGGTAAAACTGTGCACAAATCCAGATGGAGCCGTTCACACTCTGACATGAGGGGCACCTCCTCGGCACCTGCACGACCTGCTGTGCACAGCTGCCCTGCTCATCTCAATGCCATGGGTCGAACAGCTGCCTTCGGCACTGCACCCCGATCCCCCCCCACACACACACACACAGCCGAGGCGGGGATTCCTCCCTCTGCTTGGGTGTTCTCATCTGGCCCAGAAGTCACTTACCCTGGACCTCGGTCAGGAAGCACCTCCCTGACGGGCCATCCCTCAGAGGCCTCTGGGACTCCGTTTATGAAAGTGAAATATGGCTGGCCACGTTTCAGTTACTCATCTGTGAGGCAAACCGAAGCTCAGCAGCCTGGAGTCACTGACTCCCACACTCCTGGCCTTCATGGGCCAACTGATAAGATGGGTCTGCTGAGGAGTTAGGGTAAAGGCCTCGGGGCCAGAAGGACAGCTGCCACTAAATAGAAAATCAGGACATCACCACAGACGGGATGCCCGGGCCACGTCCCAAACCCGATGCCTCCAAGGGCCAGGCAGGAAACGAAAATGAGCAAAGAGGACTAGGCAGGCAGGGTCTTTGGTGAAACGGAGAGCACACACTCTGTCTGACATGGCTACTGCCTGTGGGCTGGTGTTGCCGGGTATTTTTCCCCATTTTTCAAGTAGAGCTACAAATCTGGACTTTTAAGTGTGCAACCAAATAAAACAGACCTTGTAAGCTAAATCTGGCCCTTCAGTTAGCACCCTCTGGCTCAGGCCCAGTGAAATGCTTTTTTCACAACCGAGTAACTGAGCGTAAGGATATTACACTCAGACTCACAGAGTTTGGGACATTTAAGAGACCTGAGAGATAACCTAGTTCATCCCTGTGTGTTTGAAACTGTGAACATACAAACTTCTTTATTAACTTAATGACATACATATAATCAGCTCCCAGTTTTCTACTTAAAAGCATCTCAGCACCCCCAATTCAGAGCAAGATTTAAAATGAAGCCTCTATAGGTGGTGTGTTTGTATCTATTTGTCAGAAGCCCTATTTTATACCATTTGCTTAATGGCAGCTCTACCTCTATCTTTTGCAAATCTGAGCTTCCCTGGTCTTCCTTCTAAGCTGACCTCCTGGTCTTCCTTCTAAGCTGACCTCCTGGTCTTCCTTTCTAAGCTGACCTCCTGGTCTTCCTTCTAAGCTGACCTCCTTGGGTCGCTTTTTATGGCCCACCTCCTAAGTGCCTCCGTAAGCAGCTGGAGCGCATGCTTCTTCATCTGTGGGCCTTCCCTTGCCTGAGTCTGGGTGAGACTGCTCACACCTGCCCAGCTTTGCGCCTTGGCCCACTGTGCCGTCCCCAGCCCCCAGCTAGGTCTGGCCCCGCTGCACTTTCCTGGTCACATGGTCACATGATAAAGGGTGCTATGTGCTTGTCAGTGTGGATCCCTCTCACTCCTCACGCTTGTTCTAGATCTTAATTTTACAACATGGGCTTCTGCTTCTTCAAAGCCATTCAAATAAACAGAAGACATTGAAAAGAAACATCCATTGTCTTGTTTTTCCCTTTACAACTGTGTTCCCAGACTGGCTTATGGTTATGGTCCCCTCAAGACATGCCAATGGGGACACACAGAGTGAGCAGGCGGAGATGAGTTCCATCCATGGGTGCCAGTGTCTCTCTGCAGACCGCTTGCCCCACATGAAGAGTACCCTGAGGGGAGGTTCCATGGTGGATGGCAGTCTGAGCCCATCAGAAGACAAGCTCCCCCAGCAGTGCTCTCGGCGAGGACTCTAAGTCCCTGTCTGGACCTACCAAGGTGGGGGGTTGGAGTGGGAAGAAGAGGAGCAAAAAAAGGAGGCGAGATGGAGGAGGAAGAGGGTGACTCAGATTCCAGCCTCAGCTCTCACATAATCCTTCTTCCTGCCTGACAGCCCCCTCCGTAGCCCACTCAACCTAGAGCCAGTGTGTCCACGCCCACCTGTCCACGGCCACATATCTCCTGTCACCCCCTCCCCCTCCACCCGCTGAGGCCTGTCAGGGAGCATCTCAAACACCACTTCCTCAGCGAGGCTCCCTCAACATTCCCGGTATCATGAGATCATTTCCTCCCTTGAGCAATCTGTAGGTCCATGATCTTTCTCCCATAGCCCGAAGGAGCATCTCCAATTTCATTTCAGTGTCCCCCAGCCCTACCGCCCATAACTGTGCCTGTAACGGAATGACTGAATCCAGGCGGATGGGATTGGGTCAGCTCTTTGCGGCCAATGTCATTGCAGAGCTGTCATTCTGAGCAATATTGTAAAAATATTTTGCATATCTTTCCTGAAAAGATCACCCAAGAGTCCCCTGTGGCCTATTTGGGTGGAAAAGCCAAAGGCATGGGAGTCTTAGTTATCTGTGGCCGTGTGATGAATTACCCCGATAGTTAGCAACTTAAAACAATAAATGTTTATTATGTCACAGACTCTGTGGCCTGGGAATCCAGGAGTAGCTGAGCTGGGTGGTTCTTGCTCACTCTCCTGAGGTGGTTGTTAAGCTGTCAGCGGGGGCTGCAGGCATCTGAAGGTTTGACTGGGGCTGCAGGACCTGCCTCCGAGAGGGCGCGCTCACGTCGCTGGTGGCAGGCGGCCTCGGTGCCTCGCCACGGGGTTGCCTGAGTGTCCTTGTGACGTAGCTCTTGGCTTCCCTGGAGCAATCCAAGAACAAGCAGGCAAACTTACTTTTTTTTTTTTCTTTTAATATATTTTATTGATTTTACACAGAAAGGAATTGAGAGGAACAAAGAGTTAGAAATGTCGATGAGAGAGAAACATCAACCAGCTGCCTCTTGCACACACACACACCCCCCCCCCCACAACCAAGGTGCATGCCCTTGACCGGAATTGAACCTGGGACCTTTCAGTCCGCAGACTGACGCTCTACCTCTGAGCCAAACCAGCTTCGACCAAACTTACTTTTAAAAACTGTCTTTTATGACCCTGCCTTGGAGGTGATGTTACATCACTTCTACCTTATTCTATTGATCACACAGACCAGCCTGATACTCTATGGGAGGGGACTACACACACAGATGTGAGCCCCAGGCAGTAGAGCTAATCAGAGGTCATCTTGGAGGTTGGCGCCTACATATTATTATACCCCTACCAGCTTGGCACAACTTATCCACGTTTATCTTACCCGTTCCCCTGCCTCCAGTCAGTCTGAGACCCAGGCCTAGCCAGTTTGGCTCAGTGGATAGAGTGTTGGCCTGTGAACTGAAGGGTCCATGGTTCGATTCCGGTCAAGGGCACGTGGCTGGGTTGCGGGTTTGATCCCCAGTACGGGGCGTGCAGGAGGCAGCCAATCAATGATCTCTCATCGTTGATGTTTCTGTCTCTCTCTCCCTCTTCCTTCAGCTCTGAAATTAATAAAAATATATTTTAAAATGTGCCTCCTTGATGATCTGACCTGAAGTCCTCCACCTTCCATCCAGGCACGAGGAATAAGAAGAAATATGAGTCCACATCCATCTCCTTTCTCCTACCCCCTGTCCAGCAGATTCTTTCGGGGCCTGAGGTCACCTACTTGGGAACGTCATGGAAACTTTGAGTTCTGCGATGTCTTAGTTTCGATGTGAGTTTTTACAATGTCCAAAGGCCAGCGGAACCGAAGCTGCTTACACTGGTCCGTAGCCAGTGGACCATGTCTAAGGTGAGGGAGAGGGCAGGGGCGGAAGGAGGGGCGATGGGAGGGGTGGTGGCAGCACCTCTCCTGCCCAGGTCTCCTGCGCCACAGCCAAATCCTCTACTTCCTGGCGTGGCCTTGGACTGTATCTGGGAGCAGAACCCCCTCAGCCTGGCAGAGATGGGACTGTGGCTTGGAGCGCTGGGATGCAGAAATTGTGCCCTCCCTTCTTTTCTTTTGCTTATTACTGGTCAGTTTTACTTGCCAATAAGTCATTTAAAAGTTTTATAACTGCCGAAACCGGTTTGGCTCAATAGATAGAGCGTCGGCTTGGAGACTGAAGGGTCCTGGATTCGATTCCGGTCAAGGGCATGTGCCTTGGTTGCGGGCATATCCCCAGTGGGGAGTATGCAAGAGGCTCTCTCATCGATGTTTCTAACTCTCTATCTCTCTCCCTTCCTCTCTGTACAAAATCAATAAAATATATATTAAAAAAAAAGTTTTATAACAGATAATTCAAGGATAAAATGACAAATTCACATAACGGTGAGTAGAATAGATTTTTTTTTCTAAACACTTTATACAAATCATTTAATTCTCACAATAACTTTATGAAGTAGGTACTATTATTATTCCCATTTTAGAGATGAGAAAACTGAGGTCCAGAGAGATAAAGTACCTCACCTAAGGTCCATCGCTAGTAAGTTGCATGGCTTGATTTAAAATCAAGTTGTTAGGGTCTAGAATGTACAATATATCTTAAATGCTACACTATACTGACTCTTTCATGTATATATAATATATGTAATGTATATGTCTATGTATATGTATGTATTATTGATTTCAGAGAGAGAAACATCAATGAAGAGAGAGAATCATTGATCATCTGCCTCCTGCACACCCCCACTGGGTATCATGCTCACAACCTGGGAATTGAACCATGAACTCCTGGATCACAGGCCGATGCTCAACCTCTGAGCCACACCGGCTGGGCCATGTATGTTTTTAAGATAAAACACACATAAGAGAATGTGAGCTTACATTAAGCATAATTTAGACTCTGCTCTGTCCTCCTGATCCTTAAGGGTAGTACAAGTAATTTCCTGCCGTTTGGAGGCAGTTTGGTTTTTAATGGCTGCCTCTACAGGAAGCAGGGCCATCTTCCCAGGGACCAGAAGACTGGTACCCCTCATCCCACTGCTTTTGGATCTGGGCGGTGAAGGCCTGCGTGAGGCATTCTCACCCACATCTTGCCATGGCGAACACCAAGCCATAGAGAGCAGAAGCCGCTTGTCTGAGCACACACACTAGTAGATGCAGAAAGAGATTTAATATCAGGGTATTGCTCCAAACTCGGCACTCTTCCCTCTGAAACACCTCATTCCACCTGACTTCATCGGAATCTTCTCTCTCGTTCCCCTGGCAAAGTCCCCGCAGGAGCCTGTGAAGTTCTGGTGGTTCCAGCTTGCCCGGTGCCAGCACGGAGCAGCCACAGCCCAAGGGTGCGAACTTGTCACCTGCTTGCTGGGCTGGGTGACCTTGCGAAACACATCCTGTGCAGCTGCCAGGAGGCACATTACTCATAGTTGCCTTCAAGGGAGCCAGCTGCTAGGACTGTCATTAGCCAACGGCCTCCAGCTGCTGCCCCTTCAGATCCGAAGATAGCATGTTTTCCCACCGCGGCCTGGGCGCAGTGGGGACGTGGCGCCAGGCTATTTCTGCCCTCCACCGGGCTCCGCTAATGGGCAGTCTTGACTCTGGGCCTGACCAAGACTTTCTCAGAGCGGCACTGCAGCTTGAGGCCCTTTCTGTCCGTCCTTCCATCTCCCTCTGAAGATGGGTGTCCACCTCCATCGTGATCCAAAGGCTCTTCCTGTTTACGCTAGCTCCCTCCCTTTATCCTGAGAGCAGCTTCCTCA